GCAAACTGCCGATCAGGTTGATCAATGTTTCTGAGCTGAGGAGAAAGGGGAGAGCCCGTTTTGAAAGAACCAGATGCTTGTGCTGTCAAAGCAGAACAGCCCTGAAAGACAGAGCCCAGAGACCAAAGGGGTAGAGTTGGGTCTACACTTTTCTGAAGTGGCCAATAGGTGCTTAATTGATTGCACCAACCAAATGGCAGGAGAAAAAGGCAGTTGCCACAGGAAATTCATGCTGGGTTAGATGTATGTGGGGAAAGGTCTAACTTTGCCCACTGAGCTAAATTATTACAGTAGTTTGTTTGGTTTTACGTTATGTGGGAATCCAGCCATATATTATGATTAGTATTAAATCATGGTTTTGAGTGATGTGTAGATGTAAGGGTTATCTCCTAGGGTTCAGGAGGAGAGGGGCCTGGCCGGATTCAGTTAGAAGGAGAATGTATGAAGTGGCTGTTGATACTTGGTGCGTGATGAAATAAGGCGGTTCAATCCAACTTGGTTTTGGATAGTATATGAATAAAGATGGTTAGATTGGACTTTTTTTTTAAAAATATTAGAAGGCATCCTACAGTTAGGCTAACCAGCAGGGATCGTGCTGCCTTGGTCTAATACATCAAGCTGTCATAACGATTGGATTAGAAGGCTAGTAGTTCTACTGTAAAGCTGCAGAGCTAGCTCTAATTTTGTCTTTGAATAGTCTGATTTTTGTGAGCTGTGACTCCACAATCACCTTTCCTTCATTGGCCTGGATTCTGGGATTAAGACTGCAAACAATGCTTCAGGGAAAACGAAATTACTAGTTTTAAGTGTAGCTTTAAATACCCTGATCTTGCTGCTGAATTCTTATCAGGCAAACAAGCTAATTATATATCTTTTCCCCACTCACAGAGGAGTTGTATACATCTGTGCTAAAACAAGACCAAGAAGCTTAGAAATTAATGATGGAGAAAGCATTGTGTTGGGCAGTTAAGCAGTGGCAGTAAATACATGCCCCACTGAGATCGTTTTGACTGATGTAGCAAAAGAGTGTGTGGAGTGCTCAGGCAGACTAATAACCAACCTGCCGTGTTCCCTTTTCTGAATTGATTTAATGCATTGCAATAAGAAGTTGCAGATCTGAAAATCCATGGTCTCAAGACTTTTGCTTTTAATTTTCATAGTGAAGCCCTTTTTGATTGTGTTTTTCAGTGGCTAAACCACAGCACTGTTGAATGACTTCTGGATTGAACTTCCTTTGCACCATTATATTCTCCTTCTTTCCTCCTTGTCACCAATGCCATCATGTATAAAAACTGAGGCAGAGAAGCACACAGTGTCATCAGTTGATGAGCTATTTACTGAAAACAAAGCCTAAAGTCAAAACATCTCATCCAAGTTTTGCAGCTGACTTTTATAAAAGTTTTACTTCCTCTGTACTGGAGGACAGGCTGCACTCTGTAATGTAGGAGAGCACACCCTCTTTCAAGCTAAGGGGTAAATTTGGCTGAGCGTGGTGCTGGGGCAGCTCTCTAAAAATGGGCTGAATCAAGCAACAGAAAGGGTGAGACAAGGTCAAAAGCAAAAATGGATTGAATTTTAGGTTAACTAAGTGCAGCTAAGATGATTGCTCTTGTTTTCATCTTCTGCAACAATAAAAACCACTGTGTGGTGATAGCTTTTTGAAGGCCCTTGGGACTACAAGTTTTAAATTAAGCACGTTTGATCATACAGGCTGGATGACTGCGTGTGGGTGTCAGTTGTAAGGAAATGAAGGGAGTCAGCAAGGAGTAACGATTAAAATGTAGGATTTGTTGTGGAGGTATCCGGATGCAAATCCCCATTGAAACATGACATTCTCTGGGTAATTGTGGGCTAGTCGTGGACTCAGTGCAAACTGGCACTTATGCTGAGTGGCAAACATTGGGTGGGTGGGAAACAGAAGCACTGGTTTGAGGCCTGTGGCAGAAAGGTGGAATATAAAAGAAAGGAATAAATAAAGAACAACAACACTGTATTGTGGATAGAATAATTTTTAGCCCTGTTATTTTTACCTAGAAGTATTGTATTATGTAAGCCTGTGACAAATCTGAAATTGAAACACTTAAAATGACAATGTGGCCCTCTAGATTTCATAAGTATAAGTAAATGGAAGTTCCTTAGGTATTATAGAAACAATCTAAAGTATGTTTACCCAGAAGCCTTATTGATCTAAGTAATGGTGCTTGGGGCTACTATGTAGGAAACAATAATGGGGACCCTTATATGGACAAATGTGCCAATTAATTCTGAACTGTTTGAGGACTCTTGGTCCTACTCCCATACTTAAAGACCAAGAGTAATTGTCTTGGAATCTTTCTCTTTGGGGAAAATGCTGAAATCAGAACTAATTATTACTGTTCCACCAGGAAAGCACCAGCACAGTGCAGAACGTTCACAAAAAAGTACAGGAACTAGAACTGGAACATAGTGGCTGCTCAGAGGCCTTGAGGCGACAGGCCAGCGAACTCGAGTTTGGTGCTGAACGAGAGACTCGACTTAAAAAAGAACTTGAGGTAAGAACTTCACCGAAAAATGATGTTGGTATCTGATAGTTACGTATCCTTCTGTTCCTGGGGTTTGTTTCATTTCATTGGAAAGGAGCTGTTAATAACAAGGAGAGATTGTCAAGGCTCTTTGGACTAAAGGTAATAGGGTAAGGCCTTGGAAATACCAGTGAAAGGCCAAAAGGAAAGGAAAATGTTTTAAAAACCAGTTTCTTCCGTAATTCAAGTAAAATAAAGGAGGTTTTTCTCTTGTTTGCACAGCTTTAGTGTAATCAGTTTATAAATCCCTGTAAGAGGCTATGGACTTTGGCCAGAAATTTCCAGTGACATGAAAGTAGATTTTGTCAGCTCATGTTCTGTTTTGCATTGTGTTATATTCTATAAATACTTGGCTTCATCCTGATATATCCTTGTACTGATAATTTTTAAAGAAGGGATTTTATTTCAGAGGTTATTGTGCAGTGATTAAGGCGTCAGACTAGAAACCAGGAGACCGTGAATTCTAGTCCCACCTTAGCAACAAAGCCAGCTGGATGACATGATAGATATAGATACAGATATATTCAATAAAATGGCAAAGAGGGGCACAAAGAAGTGGTACCCATTTGCCATCTGAATGGATGCTGTTGGTTGATGCCTTTCAGATAGCAGCCCCCATTAGCCACAATCAATGAAAATTATAATTCCATACCTCCAGAGTGTGCCAGGTTGGGGAAGAGTGCCAGGAATAAAATAGGGAGGGTAGATAGAGAGATAAGATCCACCCCGAATCATCACTGTGCTGTTATAACATCTTTTATTTCTTAGGACACAAAGAAAAGGGGTTGCTCCAAAGGTCTGTTTGGAAATAATTTACAGAGTCCCCAGAGAGCTTTAATGAGCACCTTGTTTGCCATGGCCTGTCTACAGCCAAGCAATAGTTCAAACAAAAGAGCAACAATAATTTAAAACAAACAAACAAACCCTTTCTTATTATGCTAATGTTGAATTAGAAAAAACTTTATAGCCTGGAATTACGAAGGAGATGAAATTAAATGGCTTGTGGTTTTGATGAGGAGTGGAAAAGATTAACAAAGGCATTAAATAAAAATCCTAGCAGTTTGAGATATTAGTTCTCCCCCAACCTTATGTTTAGAGTGGGAAGGTCCTCTGCATTTTCTGAGAAGAGGATAATCCGAGCACTGGGTATTATTTTAAACACTGAGTTGTTTTCCTTGTAGGTAATTAAGGTGTTTTTAAACAAAGCACAGGTCAATCCGTTGCCAAAAGGAAATGTTGCTTTAGTGTTAGTGTTCCTTTACTGCCCTCTGGTGGTTTTAAAGATCAATTGTAGAAAATGTAACAGTAATCTCTGTATCCTTGATTCCTCAGTTTGACATTTTTTCAGCCTAAACAGTTTCAGGTCTCTTATCCCTGTTAGAACCAGAAAACTGCTGATATGCAATTGCATTTCTTGGTATAAAGCCAGATTTTCACACTCTCTTGGCTTAATTTTTTTTCCTTTTCTTTTTTGGTTTTGTCCCATAGCTTTATTACATATGGACTTAATAAATAAAAGTGATCCCAAGTATGGGATGAAGAAAATATTTTAAAAGTTTATGGGGTGGGAGATATGAATTTATAGTCTGAATAAATTATTAGGTTATTATGTTTTATGAATTAAGAGGCTACCAGCTCAGTTATCTGGAACTGTAGTCCACAACTTGATTTATTATCTGCCAAAATCCTATAAGTGAAATGTGCTGTAAATAGAAATAGCCCGTCTGGCTTCCAGAGCTTCTTTTTATTGAAATTAACACATGCTGCCAAATAAATTCTGCATTGACTTTATAGGTAAGTCTTTGTTTTCTTCCAATGACTTCCTAGAAATATTGATGGTACCAGTGGCATTGATGTTGCTGGTGCCATTAGGAGCTTAATGTGCTTGGAAGTAATGGGCCTTAATGTGTTTGGATGAGTATGTTTAACTAGTGTGGATATTATCAGTGTCAATAGTTTACTTGTTTTGTTAGAAGAGACAGAGAATCTTTTTTAAAAAAATTAGGAATAAATTTTTAAGCAATTTACTCTGCAGATGTAGATTTTGTAGTAAAATAATGACAAAGTTTCTTCATTCATTCATTAGCTCATTTGTTTATTTATCTGTTTGACTTTCTACAAGAGTACAGGTAGTCCTCGCTTAACATAGTAATTGGGACCAGCAACTCCGTCGCTAAGCAACATGGTCATAAAGTGCGACATCACATGACCGCGCCAACTTACAACGGCAGTTGTGGCAGTCCCAGTTGCCGTTGTTAGGCGAATCCCACATGGTTGCAGTGTCCCACAGTCATGTGATTGCCATTTGTGACTTCTTGCAGGTTTCCCCATTGACTGTTTGTTGGAAGCTGGCAGTGAAAGTTGCAAATGGTGATCACATGACCGCGGGATGCTGCAACATCATAATTGTGGGCTGTGTGCTGAGCAACCAAGTTGTGATCATGTGACTGTGGGGATGCTATGACTGCTGTGACTAAGAGGACCGATTGTGAGTCCCCCTCATTCAGTGCTGTTGTAACTTTGAATGGTCACTGAATGAGTGGTTGAATGAATCCAATACGGATTCATTATTAAGGCTGTGTAAAATCATTTAGAGGGGTATTTTGTGGAAGCAGTTCTCCTATGATTTAAAGGACCTGAAAGTAACATCCTCTCAAGGGTCAGGGCAGCTACCACAAGGGCCACTCCATGTCATGAGCATATGGGTTCAAGGATAATTGATACCTTGACCATGATTGCTGCTGAAGTGAAGTGTGCTTCAAGCAGTGGATTTCAGGGGGAATTTTACTGGTTCTCTGAAATGTCTCTGAATAGTTTTGCACAGCTGTTAATTAAACCCTAAGAATTTATATTAAAAAATTGAGAGATTTCAAAACCTGGCAACAGTAGAGAAAGTATCTAGGTGGTGATCTAGAGGCCAAAGTTAGGCAAAATAAGGAATCCTTAACTGCCTTTTCAAATGGATTAGATTAAAAGGCTTTTATGAGCAGCATATCTGTATGATATTGACTTCTGAGTATTCTACAACTGTGGCACCGCCCACCAAGAATACCTCGCTTCAGGCTATAAAGTTTTTGTGAAACAAATATCTGGCTACTTATGTATGAGAAGAAGATCTGTTAGATATGCTGAATATGGCCCTTGTAAAACTTCACAGAACAAGATAAACTTCATGATCAGTCTGGAACTAGTTAGGAGCCAATGCAGTTGAACAAAGTTTGGCTTGATATTAGTACGTTTAAGCTGAGAGTTTAGAGAAGCACTTGAGATGTGTGCATGGCTAACCTCTTATTAACTTTTTTTTAAAGCTAGCTATGGCCAGAATAAAAAAACTGGAGGAAAACATTGAGGCAGAGAGGGCGGCACATCTGGAATCAAAATTCAATTCTGAAATAATTCAGGTAAATTGGAGAAAGGCACCATATGGAACTGATAAATGCATCTCAAGCTCTTTTTGCACCTGGATTGTTAGCACATGTTAATTATTTTACATTTAATTTTATGTTTTTGTATATGAAATTTAGCCATCTTTAGAGAAAATTCCTTGAAGGTATTTTGACAATTGCTTTGTAACCAAGTAATTAACAAAATAGAACATGCTGGGCATCCGGAGGGTTTTATGTTTCAGTGGGCAGGGTATAGTGAAGTTTAAACACCCTGGGTTGGTTCATAAATTGGTGCAGCATCACTGGTCATCATACTGGACTGGATGAACAGTTATTGCTCCTAAGGTTAAATCTGTAAAATATGATTCAAGGATGATAAATAGAGATTGGAGCAGGCTGTAGGACCGTGTTTCTCACCATTTTCAGCATGTATCTCTCTGTCTTCCCCTGATGATACCAGAATTCATCCTGAAGCAGAATTCTCATAATTCAAGTTCTATAACTAGCTGCATACCCTACTTTCAAGTCTAGGAACTGAACTGATTCTTAAGGCTGATCTGGAGAAAATGGCAAAAGAGTGCCTCTCGATGGATTATGAATTACAAATGTTAGGGCAAAAGGATACAGTGTCACTTTCCCATTTATTTTAGTCATGAAATGTATATGTTTCTGAGCAAGTAAATCTTAGAAGCCTGCCATGTTGATTGTACATGCTTTCTCAGTTCTCTGTCAAATTCTGGACCAAGGCCCTATGAAAAAATGTGCTTAAAACCGTGTCCTAAATCATTTATATCATGGTTTGCCCTGCTGCGAAAAACCAGAACAGTGTACAAAACACTAACCTAAAGTCTAATGGGAAATCATTTGTGTACTGTTTATCCAGTGATACCTAGAAAGATATATATTTCCTGAGTAGAAAGCAAAATAATGCTGATACTTTTTTTCCATCAGTTTTCTCATTTTTTTTTTTCATTTAGAATCTGTGGGATCTAAATGATTCCTTTGGAATCTTTGAATCATTTGCAGTTTTGTTTATGTGCATCAGTGCTTTGATTTTTCAATGGATCATGTTCCAGCAGAGTCATGGTTAAGGGCAGCAAAAGCTCATTCTGATTGGACAAGTAGGACTGGAGAAGTTTGCACATGACCCTGAATTCACCTATGCCTTTAACCACATTGTGATTGCCTGTCAACATTAATCTGAGTTCATCATAGCCAATATTTCTTTTACCTAACTATGATTATAGGGTGGGTGGAAAGGTACACTTACCCTGGCATTATGCATATAAACTCCCATCTATATGTGTAGAATTATTCTGCTTGCCTGTTTTGTCTTGCCTCACTTCAGTCTGATGTAGAGCAAAGCCCCGCAGCCTCTTATAGTCCTGATTGTTGTTTCCTGTCATTTTGCAGTTACGAATTCGAGACCTTGAAGGAGCTTTGCAAGTGGAGAAGGCCAGCCAGGCAGAAGCAATATCTGACTTGGAAATGTTCAAAGGCAAATTTAGAGAGGTAGAAAATGCCTATGAGCGAGAGAAGCGTAGTGCTCATGACAGCTTGGAAAAACTCAACATGTGAGTGGCTCCTTTCCTGACTGAGAAGTGGTATTTCTTTAGATGAAAGACTCACACAGTCAATGAAATACTCATCTACCCCTATTGTCACATAGCACAGACAGATGATAACTGTTAGCGGGTGAATGTGATACGGAATTAATTGACTTGCTGTGTGATTTGGCTTTTATGTGGTCATTTTTACAGTCCTAGAAGAATTCTGTACCTATGAATCCCTTTAAAAACTTAGGCTGCAATCTTTTGCCAAGTGTTTCGGTTTAACTCTGACATTGCTTGGTGCTTAATGGAGTACAGTGGTGCTTAAAAGTTTGTAAATCCTTTTGAATGTTCAATATTCCTGCATAAAGGTGACCTAAAACACGATCTATTCTCAACACAAGTCCTAAAACTATATAAAGAGGACCCAGTTAAACAAATGAGTCAACAATATTATACTTGTTCATTTATTTATTGAGGAAAATGATCCAAAGCTTATGTACCCCTTGGAGTGCCTTTTGTAGTCACGCTAAAATTAGATGATACAGTGTTGACCATTATGGGCAATATTTAACTCCCTGAAAGCATTAAATATTAGTCAAATTTAATGTTTGAAAATATGCAACAATATCTATCTATCTATCTATCTATCTATCTATCTATCTATCTATCTATCTATCTATCTATCTATCTATCTATCTA